GGTAGGCTCTTGACATTTCTCAATAAATATATAGCGGTATGGTTTATTCGTCTTGTCAGTGCATTTGGCACGCTTGATTTTGACAAAGTTGAGCCACTTCTTCCGTCTTTTTCTTGCTTCGGGTCGTCGGAACTTGAAGGTCGATTCCCTTCAAAATATCTGGCCTGTTACTGCAGCCACCAACAACGCACTTGATGGGCATTTCATTCGCGAAAGAGCATAAAAATCGATGTTAAATAAGATTTTTGGAGTTGACTCGCGATAAAATCCACTGTCAAGCTTCGATAACAACRAATGCCTTGTCYTGGGATGACGTCAGAGTCAGTCCCAGTCCTTCCCGGTATTGAACCAAAAAAAAGAGAGCTCAAAGTGGACATTTTCCTATGTTTGCAAGCTCACCAAAAATTCGCTTTTTTATAAAAACGAAAAATTCTTTCACAGATACGTTTCCATTAACCTCAATTTTCATTTTAAAGATTAAAAAAAATCGTGAAGGTGCACTTTAAAACTAAAGGTTCCAAAGTTACCACCCAGCGCTATCATGACAAGAAGTTTTAAGAAATACGACCCTCAAAAGTTTGCAGAAGATGTTGCACGTATCCCATGGGATTGTGTTGAGCTTGCAGATTCAGTCAACGACAGAGTGGATGCTTTTAATGATTTGTTAATTACTTGTCTAGACAGCTATGCTCCAGTGAAAACAGTAAAGTTGAAACAGATAGCTTGTCCCTTCATCACCGAAGACATCAGAGAACGTATGGCATCACRGGATCRSTTACAAARACAGGCCCAGAGGACTGGTAACGAGCATGATTGGCTAGCATTTAAAACGTTGCGTAAGGATGTCAAACAGGCTTTAAGGAAAGCAGAACAAGACTTTTTTAACAGGGAAATAGCTGAGAACAAGGGAAACAGTGGCGCAATTTGGAAAACCATCCGTCAAGCACTACCAGASAAGTCGAATCAGCGCACTTCCTACTCAAGAGACACACAAACACTTGCAAATGATTTCAACAAATATTTTATCTCTGTTGGTKTGAATGCAGCGAGCGACGCTACGAAGTTGGCTAGATCTCACGGTCTTTCTGACAGCTACACACAACAACAAAATGTCACTACTCCTGTCAGTGATGATAATTTGTTTGAATTCCGGCGAGTGTCMAACTCAGATGTACGCGACGTAATAATGTCTATGGCTCCTAATAAGGCACCTGGCCACGATAGGGTTCCCATGCGTGTGATCAAGGACTGTCTCTCATCCATCTTACCAACCTTAACGAGCCTCATTAACACCTCATTYACTACATCTGTYTTTCCACGAGCCTGGAAGAAAGCGGAAGTTGTCCCACATCCTAAAGAAGGTGACCCAGAGGTTCCTGGCAATAACCGCCCTATTTCTCTTCTCCCAGCTCTCTCCAAAGTAGCAGAGAAGATTGCATTAAATGATTATAATAGCTATCTCACTAAAAAGAACAAACTAACACATCATCAGAGCGATAACTGGAAATACCATTCAACTTAAACCTTAGGATTACTAGTTACAGGGGATGTTTACAGAGCAATGGACGAGAAGAAGCTAACTGCCATGATTCCTATAGACTTAAGAAAAGCATTTGACAGTATATGCCATAATACCCTTCTATCCAAGTTTAAAAAAATTTAGGGACATCACCAACGGCCAAGTTGTTTGCAAGTTATCTCACAGATCGGCAACAGTCTACTAAGGTTGGTACGTCTTTATCTGACCAACTGACAGTTACTCACGGGGTTCCTCAGGGGTCCATACTGGGACCTATGCTGTTTGGACCCTCTGTGGTCAAGTACAGTCATGTTGAGTCATATGTTGATGATACGAAGATCTATCTGTCATTTGCCGCAAAAGACGTTGACTCGCGTTTGTCTCAAGTAGAAGAGGATCTGTGACGCATTGCAGAGTGGTGCTGTGCTAATAGTTTCCTTATTAACCCTGACAAAACAAAATTCATTGTCTTTGGAACACCACAGATGCTWGCTAGGRWATCAGGTCTATGCGTTCCATTCTTGGGTCAAGACCTTTTTCCAGGACCTTGTGTGAAAGACCTTGGGATCATACTTGATTGTAACCTGTCATTCAATCAGCATATTATAACACTTATGTCATCTCTTCTTGGCAGCCTCTGCAGGATAAATAGAGTTCGCCATCTGTTCACTAAAGATACACTCCTCACGATTCTGAATTCCCTAGTTTTTAGTAAACTCTTTTACTGCTCTACTGTATGGTCTGGTACTTCAAAACAAAACATCAATAAACTACAACTTTTACAGAATTTTGCAGCTAGAATCTTGACAAACACTAGAAAATATGATCATATTTCGCCGGTTCTAAAAGAGCTAGGTTGGATATCCATCAATAACCAGTTAAATTTAAGGGATGCTTGTCAAGTTTTCAAAATAGTGAATGGACCCGCCCCAMAATATCTATGTGGAAAGATAAGCAAAAGATCCGAATCACATACCTATAACATGAGACATAAAGACAATCTAAATATTCCTATGTGCAGAACTTCTACCGCGCAGCGTTCCTTTTTCTTCAGRGMSMTTAAGTTGTGGAATGACTTAAAGATATCGAAAGAACATAGTTCACTTAAGTCCTTCAAGTGATCTTTAAGATACATGATGTCATGATCCTACACATTAGTATTTATATCTTTAATAATAACTGTAATTTTTATAATTATTGCAAATTATTAWAAATAGGGAAATTATACTCTTAATCATCACTGTAATGTTATCAGTTTTGTACTTTTTTAAATATGGAAACAATTGTAAATTAGATCAAATAGGTTGAAGTAGCGCTTRCATCATAATTGTAAATTAGGCATGAAAAGCCATTTTTGGATTGCTTAATAAAATTATTGTATTGTATTGTTCTACATCTACATCTTTATTTTTGTTGGAAAAATCTTTCGATATCACACCAAATCAAAATGGACGACTGTTGATTGTTTTCAAAGACCTGTCAGTTTTTCTGTAATAAATAAAACTTCATTTCTTGCAATGTACTTTGTAAACAGCAGACATAGTGCACGATATAGAAATGAAAGAAAGTTATAGTGCTTGGAAGGAGGCAATTCCGGGAGTTCCCTTAGGAATAAATTCGGAAAAATTAATTTCCGACCTCGCTGGGATTCGAACCCACGACMTTCGGATTTGTACACCGATGCTCTACCAGCTGAGCTACAAGGCCAGACTGGGAGCAGGTCGGGGTGAAATAGATGTTAAGGTTGCGGTAGTAGAATAATGTAAAGATATGACATAGTGCACTTCTTGTCCTTCATTGGTTTTGGTTGTAGAAAGAAGTTACTGATCTTGCATGGTGGTTTATGTGCTACTTGAAGACCATACTGTTTCAAAGTCCTGCCTATCTTTTCTGAGACTCCTTGTACGTAAGGGATATGAAGGTCCATGATCCCACTGAACCATCTAGTCTAAGCCAGATGCAAAAAATACTTTCAAGTTACTTAGGTGTAGTCATAAAGCAAATGTGAAACCTTCATTTGCATTCTTGCGGAAGTGCACTTTAAACAGTCATCAGTGGAATAGCATCAATATTCCCAAAAGTCATTGTCAAAGGGTTTAGATATGGAATTTCATTATAGCATTATAGTGACGAGGATCTGGGGAGATAAAAGAATAAATCAAGATTATCYATTGTTTTCCRAGAGTCTCATGTGTTTTGTTTTTTTGTACATAGTCATCTAACCAAAATATCTAAAGTTGACTATTGTTCCATTTGGCTGAAGTTTATGTCGGATTTGCCAGTAAAAAATGACAAATGGGTTCCTTGTCCCAAGTGATGTCCTTATTTGGTGGCAGTACTTTCTGGCGGGAACTAGACAACACCTAAACGATGCTTGCACACGCGTTTTCAAAAGCTTCTTCCTTGTGATTAATGGTTGCTCACGCGCTGTCAGCCAGTCACACGATTTTGTCAAATCACATTTTCTTTTAAGTAGTGTTGAAAAAACAAGCAGGAGTGCTTTATCRGGAGATATAGACACAGGCCGAAGCATCTATATCCCTGATAAAGCATGACTGCGAGTTTTTTATACTACCTCTAGAACTCCAACATTCAGAAATTGTTATCATTTTAGAAAAAAAACTGAAAAGAAAAAAAKAAAAACAGTGATTATGCATATTGAACTTCTACTGAGCATGTGCATTTGACACAATTGAAAGAATTTTGATCCCACACGTAAGAAGGCCTAGTCTATGCTGTACTGTATGTCTGCACATTGATTGAAACTGATTTAAAACCTAGCAAAGGTCTATGATRCGGCATTAAACCTGAGACCTTTGCTAGTGTTGGGTTGCGCTGATGACCTTTATATCTGATATAGAACTGATTAATAAAACATCAGTTCTATATATCTGATATAGAATTGATTGATTAATAAAACATCAGTGCTTTATCTGGATATAAAGGCACATCATGTGTCCCAATAGTACGATGCTCATTGGACTGCTCATGAATTATTAATTATTAATTAATTAGAGAATGCTAAAAAATGCACCTGCTCTAGCTTATCTATAAGATTAACCCCTGTTGCTTTTTCCTTCACAAGCAAAAATTGTAGAAACATACTTTAAATAGCCTATAACGTTTCGTAATACCTAGATWCCCCTTGTTTTTATACACCAAAACTTCTCTTTTATATCCACGATAATTCAAGTTTTGAAGAAAATCTTAAGACTAAATTTGTTTCATTACATTGAACGTTTGTCAGGTAAGAATGTACAATGAGCATGATTATGATTATGATGTTCCTTGAAAATAAAATTTGGCCTTGAAAAGTCCTGGAAAAGTCCTTAAAGTTCGTTTTTGATACTCTGCACAGACCCTGCATTATGATTAATACACCACATACTAATTATTGCTTAATCTTATTTAATTTTTTTTTTTTATAATAAATATTGGCAATCTGTTAAAAAGTTAGTGACCTTTCTTTTTTTGTTTGCAGCTTCCTTTGTGCCAACTGATAAGGTTCTCTCATCTCCAAGTATAGCACTACTAGCGGCAGATATGTGTCTTTGTTTGGAAAAAGATCCTCAATATGATGGTGCAATAGAAGTTCTTAGGGGATGTAATTATGCACTACCCCAGGAAGAAAGTTATCTTTCCATTGAAGAAACAGAGAAAAGACGTGACACAATCCATAAGATCATTGGTCATTATTTGAGTATAAAAGAATATGACATTGTTTATGAATTTCTTAAACATGTTGGGGACAGTGATGTATTTGGGATTCCCACTTTAAAGACAATGTACAATRAGTTGCTCAAAGGGTACATTGATGAAAAGAAAGTTGAGGATGCAATTTCTGTAATTGGTGAGATGGAATCTGAACTTATTCCAAGAGATACACAAGTACTAAGATCTCTTGTAACGTGCTTGGGTAGTATTGGACGTTTTATGCAAGCAAAGGAAATTTTTAGGAGCAGTTGTTTACAAGGTGCTTATCCTCCATTCCCTCAAGGAACTGATCTTTGGCATGCCACAGTATGGGCTAGTTTTTCAAAGTTTGAGGTGCACTTCTATTTAGAGCAACATCTTCAACTCCTTAATAAACATGTTGAACAACAGAGAATTGCAAGTCAAATGCCATATGATGAACAACACCTGAGGAAACTTAGRATCACTATTGCCAGTGAAGAAAACACGTCAGCTGCAAACTTAAAAATTGTGAAGGAAGTTCAGGAGAGGGTGATTGAAATTCTAGGCAGTGAGTTTAACCCTCCTCTTAGTTGTGGAATATCCGATGTAATTGGGGTAAGGTCATTTTGTGTTGCACTAGATCATCTTTGTAAATTATTTTAATTGAATCATAATTTATTTTCAGGAAGTATTAGTGAACCCTCGCAGTTTAAAAAGATGGTTTATAGCAAACCCAACACCAGAAAGTCAGAGGTCACCAAGTAATTCTGATTCCAATGAGATACATCAAAGAAATGTGTCTGCCACAGCAGGAAATATTTCAGTAAGAGTTGATATGCAAAACGAGAATTCTGTTGAACATTTACAGAAAGAGAAAATTAGGCACACCATTTGTGGTCAGCTTACAAGGCACATGCGGAATGGAGTGATTGTTAATAAGGTGAGAACTGGTATTTCTGTTTACATTTTCCTATGAAACAAGGTATATGAAAAGAATCTTTGTTTRTGTTGATTCCATAGCATTTGGTAAGTTAAGATTTTGTCACAAATTGTTTGTAGGAGGAGTTCAAGCAATATGCTCACATTATTCTTGAGGATTACTTCAAGCAGAACATTATTCCTGCTCAATACAACAGGGAACAGCGAACAAGAGTCATCAGATTTGTAGAAAAGTATTTTGATAAAGGCACAAACCATACTTAGTTATATTCGTTTTCAATTTAGCTAGAAATAATCTTTGTAAATGTTTAGAACTTCTTTCTTTGCAACTCACACACACAAACAAGCAATGTTGTACACAGCAAGTGTATGCATGCTTTCTTTGTGCTTGTTGTATGATTACATTAACTACAATGACAAAGAATTTTGTTTTCATAATATTGATGTCAAAGATTAATAACTCTTCATTTTGAGATGTGAACAATAAAGAATGATACAGAACCCTCTATTACACTTTTTAATTGTCATCTTGATATCCATAACAACTGTTTTCAACATTTTGAGGTAAATAGGTGAGGAAATTGCTAATTTTAAATAAATGTCACTTTGATGCAAAATGTAAGCATAATAGACATGAATTCCCTTTAAAACAGACACAYGCCAAAATGAATCATATCAAAATGTAAAAAAGCTGAATAGGATTGATATTGAACGATTTTGACCCTGTTCAGAATAGTGGMTTTGCTGCTTCTTGAATATGGGTTTAATCTTTTTGTTTTTGATTCCTCTGTTGTCAAACTGAAGAGGAAGGCATTTTATGATCTTTCTTTGCCAAGAAATCGTGATGAAAGCTATAGTTTATATTATCGTTTAACTTAATAAAGGAGACTATTCCTCCAATTTTTCTGAAATGATGCAATATTTTGTAAGAGCATCCCAGGTAATCCTTTTTATAGTCAAGTGCTTTGTTGAGAAGAACTTTTCAGCAAATAGGATATTTCAACATTTTTTAACTCAATAACATTTGCTCTACTTTTGAGGTTGATCTAATGTTTGTCCTCAAAGTTGATAATATCTTTAAAAAAATTGAATAAATTCGTAAACTGATAATAAACTTTGTCTRTATTATTTGCATGTGATTGCCAAGACTTATGAAATAAAAGTATTTGTTCATGTTATTAAATATTTTGCTCCTTGAACACTCCTATCTTTCCAAAATACTGTTGCTACCACACAAACCCCAGATAMCATTGACACATACCCTATATACCATATTTCATTGACATACTATTCATCTGTGTTTCTATTAGACCTTTTGTAAATAGGACTTATGGAACTGCCTCTCTCAGGAGGATACTGAAATATTGCTTCATGCTTTTGTAACCTCGAAACTAGATAGTTGTAATCCCTAATGATTGGACAGCTGCAATACTAATTATATAAGGTGCACATGCGCAATGCCGCTGCACTCCTTGTTTCTTGATCAAGCAAATATCAAAGAATAATAACCCTAACCCTCAATGGCAGGAAATTTGCATGTGCATGCGCTAAAACCGCTGGTACACGTCTGCAAATTGCAGATGCAATTATAATTATTTTGCGGTTTTGATACTTTGGAGTACAGAAAGAATTTGCAAGTGTTAAATAGTATTTGAGGTATTAACTGTTGAGAACATAGGTCCTCATCATCTATTTAGTATTGTAACTGAAAATTTAGTACCAAACAATAGGCAATGACAAGGTTGATGGTATATCGTGTATAAATTGATCTAAAAGTCAATGTTCMCCGCTTTTTAAAACATATAAATATGAGATATATATTCTCGAAGCGATGAAGAAACCATTTTGCAGCAAAGGCGTGCATTTGTATAAAATATTGGGGCAAAAAGAAATACCGAAACGATCGCAATAATATTAACTTGATATACCTGACTTCAATGAACAAGCAACTGATGCATGCGCAGAAGAACTCCATCATGCTAAAAATCATCCAATAGCACAAATCTTAACTGACTAGAAAATGTGAAGACAAATAAAATGCCAAAAGCATCATTTTCCATTTTACAAAAAAATGTTGCCTGACGCGAGGAAAATGCAGCACTGAAAAAAAATAAATACTTATTTAATATATCTTCTTGCAAAATTTAACTGCAAATGGTGAAACTGCCGTCCTTACCCCACAGTCACTTTTACAACAGCAATATATTCTGGATTTTCATGTGTTTTTATCTTAGAATTCAAAAAATGAGATCTGCCAAATCTAAGGAGATGCCAATCAAACTATTGTAGATTAATATTTTCCTGAGGTTTATTTCAGCAGTGACTGGCCAATTTGAGACAGTTGCAATATTAGCCAGCAGTCTCCAATTTGCCAAATAGGTGTTTCTTTGTGGTTCTGTAAGTCATTTGATGCTACAGGTGTCACATCATTTAGCTGAACGAGGTGGTAAAGACACTCTTCTGGAATAAATCAGATGTGGAAGGCAACAATGTTGCCAATGCGAAGGTACCTCTGAATTGATGCTAGAGAAAGATCACATCCCTAGTCTTTCTATGGCAGATTTCAGAACCTACCTGCGTGAAACTGGCAAGTTTTAACATCCAAAGACRGCAATTGGTGCAAACTTTTCCCTGTTGTTTCAAGTGACTTTGCACTTAAAAAATATCCATAAAAACAAGACTGTTTTGTGTCCCCTATCAAGTTTGAATCAATATTCCCATGATGCTATTTGGTGGTGCAACTGAGAAATATGTGTTTTCTGTAGTGGGTATCGAAAAGATAAAACAATTTTGACTCTAGAACAACTGAAAGTGAAAAAATTGAAATTTGGAATTTTTTTATCTGGGGTCCTTTTGGTAGAGATATCGTGCATGATTTTTTAAGATATAGCCAAACTACTAAGTGTAGTCAGAAAGCAAATGTGAAGGTCTCCATTTGCAATCTTTGGGAAGTGCACTTTTTACAGTCATTGATGTAATACTGATATTCCCAAAAATCGAAAAAGATGCTGATCTCTTCTCCATTTCTTTTGGAAGTATACATCATCCTTGTGGAATTCTCCAGAAGGAGGTAGTACAAGCTTGGTCTTTGTCTGAGTTGTCTTTGTAATGTCCAGTCTTGGCACTACAACAATCTCAGCCTTCTGATATCCTGATATAGTCTCCATTGATGGTGTGAACCAATACCTTTGCACTATTCCTTCTTTATTTGGGTTTGTGTCCATAATACGCCCCATAGGCCATTTCAATTATCACTAGATCACTATTTGCAAACATTTTCTTCTTGAGCCATTTCTGCCTTTCTGGTAAATTTGGTAGGTATTCTGGTAAGGGTGTCCAAAATTTGTCTGCTAATCTTTATGCTAACTTTCATCTTTCCTTAATTTAATCTAGTTGTCTACAGGCATAGAAAAGCACCTAATTGTTAAAAAGTCTATTAAGAGTCAAGATCTCCATTTCCTTTKGATCACTCGATATACAACAGTAAGCAGACGGCCATAGAGTTGTATGCAAGGTTCTAGCAGCCAAGTTCCGACTATGGCTCTTCTTTGAACTGAAAGAATCATACGTTACAAGGTCACATTGTTTTATATGACTTCTTAAATGCGTTGCTTAGAACAACTTAAAGCTGCATCATTAAAAAATCTTTCTTTTAAGGAAACATGTATAAAAAGAAACAAAAGATGACTTTAAGTTTTAGTTTAAAACAAAATCGAGATATGATAAAAAGGTTGACCTATTTTTCATTCTTTTTTGGTTAATAGAAGCGATAGACAAGTATTGTCAAGAGAAAACAAACAATTGAATTAATGTCGCTTTTAAACTCATTACCGCATATCAATTAAAAAAAATATATAGAACCATGTGGTAAACCACATGCTCAAAAAATCAGAAAAAGCTTTATGTCAAAAAATAGGGATATGTATTTGTTTAATTATGCAAAGTTTGATTGTGATTGGAAGAAGAGGAGCAAAGTTATGTATACTTTTTGATTTTAAGACGTATTTTGGCATAAACCAGGCCTTATCATACTTGAGAAGTATAGATACATCCTTTTTTTTATCACGTCGGTACTTCACATGTAGYGGAAGAAAGTAGCCTGCTCCAGTTGAAGAGAATGGTGGTCTACCAGGAGTTACTGTGTAGGGGCTTTCTGACTTTGATGCCGGCATGTTATGCATGTGGTTAAAACTACCCTGGAGGGTCCTTTAATTACTCTGCTGGCATATATGCGTGAGTGAACACAGGTTAATTAATTCAAATATTGCATGTGCATGCTCAAATTAGCATTAAAGCACAGACCCTCTGTTTTTTACTTCTGTGAACAGGGGATACAGAAAAACTCTATTAGGAACATTGAGTGAAGAGATCCAGACTACAAGGAGTTGGGTTGCATTTCCTTGTAAGGATGAAGGTTCAGATCATGTGAAATTTGTAGAGAGAAATGTCGCTATATGCTACKATATGGTCGCTAATCAGGAGTCCCAAAAAGTCAAGTGCCTCTTAAAATGGCAACATTTAAATGTGAACCCTGTCATGTTTGTGTATCTAAGAGACTGAAACTGTTTTGAGACATGGCATTCTATGTTTTSACAACAACAGATATAGGGTTATGTGCACACGTTTAGACATAATGGAATTTAGTGATGAAGAAGATGCAGGTTTAACTTTTTAAATTTTTGCTGTGAATGAGCATTTTTTGCTATACTAGCATTAACTATTTATAAAGTCTTATAAAGTCTTATAAATTCCAATCAAATTTATTATTGGATAGCCTGCATATTGAGAGTAAACGAAATTTATACTGAGAAAGCAGTTCAGAAGTGAACAAAACTCACTTGCACGCAAACTCTCACGTGAACTTTCAATTATCATTATTACTTTAAAACACCTCTTGGACGCATTTCGTATTTTTTGTTTTTTGTTCTTTTTTCCGTTTTAGAAAATTGAATTTTTGATGAACCTTTTTGACATATTTATGAAAAAGCAAAGTGCTGAACTTGAATCAAACGAATCTTAAACAGTGCAGTTTTAAAGATAAACCTCACGATTTTTTCCCGTGTATCCCCGTGTAACACTGCTAACAAACATCAAAAATCAGCTTAGTGGAGATACCCATTGTCRTTTAAACATGCTCSCACACATCTTTAGTGTCCGGAATTAAAATGCAAAGCAAACGTGACGACTGATACCCAAACGTTGTTRTCATTTTTAAATTCAAGGCAAACGAAAGAATAAAGAAGTACCATGAGGGACCCCAGAGGGTACCATTCTGATACACATCCTTCTGCGAGTTTGACTCTTTGGTCTCAAATGGTAAGAAAATCAATTATCCAGTTGATTATGGAATTTGGTAAGTTAAAAGAACATAGCTTGGTAACAAGCATGTGGTGATCTATCAGATCAAAGGCTTTCGTATAATCGAACAGGAAGACCCATTCCCATCAGTGGCATTGGTCCAAAGATGAATCATTTCCAGTAGGGCTAAAGTTGTAGAGGATTTCGGGACAGCTCCGTATTGACAGGTGTCCAAAACTTGTAGAGCAGCGGGTTTGATGACAACTAAATCCTTAGCCAGTTTGGAAAGACATGGTGTAAGGGACATTGGTCTTGGATCTTTTTTGATATTTTTAAATGGTTTCTTTTTCGGAAGTGGTGTAACGTCTGCAGGTTTACACACACTGGGAAGCAGCTGTTCTTTAGCCTGCGTAGCGGCCCTAAGGGGATTGGGGAGGCCCGGCCGAGCGGGGAGTGGGGAGGAAAATAGGAAGGGCCTGCAAGCGGACCCCACGGTTTTACGAAATCTACAGTTCGATTTGGCCGTAANCACACATCTTTAGTGTCCGGAATTAAAATGCAAAGCAAACGTGACGACTGATACCCAAACGTTGTTGTCATTTTTAAATTCAAGGCAAACGAAAGAATAAAGAAGTACCATGAGGGACCCCAGAGGGTACCATTCTGATACACATCCTTCTGCGAGTTTGACTCTTTGGTCTCAAATGGTAAGAAAATCAATTATCCAGTTGATTATGGAATTTGGTAAGTTAAAAGAACATAGCTTGGTAACAAGCATGTGGTGATCTATCAGATCAAAGGCTTTCGTATAATCGAACAGGAAGACCCATTCCCATCAGTGGCATTGGTCCAAAGATGAATCATTTCCAGTAGGGCTAAAGTTGTAGAGGATTTCGGGACAGCTCCGTATTGACAGGTGTCCAAAACTTGTAGAGCAGCGGGTTTGATGACAACTAAATCCTTAGCCAGTTTGGAAAGACATGGTGTAAGGGACATTGGTCTTGGATCTTTTTTGATATTTTTAACTGGTTTCTTTTTCGGAAGTGGTGTAACGTCTGCAAGTTTACACACACTGGGAAGCAGCTGTTCTTTAAAGGAAGCAACTTAGTGATGAGATGTAATAAAGCATATTCTTTCAAAAGCCAGTGGGGGATTGCATCGGGCACACAGGCTTTGGTAGGATCCAGCTAACATAACAATTCATAGACTTGATGTTCTGATACTTCCACTAATTTGGACGAGTCTTCTAAGGGAAGTGGAACGAGGGGATCAATCATCCTGTATTCACATATGGGCTATAGCAAAGCGTTGTTGAGTGAATTGGCAAGGTCTTTCGGTGGCAAATTGTTCAGATCAGTTACGTTAGTGTGGTTAAGCAGATCAAACCACGCAATCTTTAACTTCCATCATCCACCATCTCTTTGTGTTGTTTTCATTAAGGTGCTGGATCTTTTTACTTACGATTACAACATGGTCAAGGTTGACAAAATGTACAGCAAACACTATCCATTTCCTAAAATTCAAATCTGATACAGTGTTCCATAGACGTTGGAACGTCGCCGGYGCGTTTGTTAAATCAAATGCCATTTTATTACATTCGTAGAATCCTAGCGGGCCAACAGTAAAAGCAGTCTYTGGCTTATCTTCTTCCTCCAGCTCTATCTGCCAATAGCCACTCTTTAGGTCTAACACAGAAAACCAACGACAACCTCCCATAGCTTCCAGGGCTCCTSGATCCTCGGTAATAGGCATCTTTGATGGTGAGATAGTCAAGCTTTCCAAAATCAGTGCAAAATCTGAGAGACACTTCTCGCTTTCTGACAAGATGACCAAGGGCTGTGACTTTCTCTTATAACGCCACCATCCAGCATCATGTTGACAAACGTCTTCATACTGACCCAGGGGAACACGTCGATGTCTCATCTTGAAAGGGGTATCATCTGACAATTTAATGGCAAGCTTGACAGCAGATATGCGTTCAAGGTCGGTTGCAAGGTCGAATATTCTTTGCTCCCACTCCTTCAATACCTGTACGGCCTTATTCCTTTGTTCTTCRTCAACAGGTGAATCACTTAAGTCAAATACGCTATCTTGTGGTACTGTTTCAGACATTTCAGTCAATGGTTCGATCATGATATTCACTTGATTAAGGATCGCTAGTATTATTTTTTTCCCGGAATGGTGATGTCGCGCGTGGAACTATTATGAATTTTAAATGKTATGCATTGTTCTTCTCCATCCAGTTTGACATTGACTAGCGTTGGAAGGACTTGCAGATCTTCTGAGGTGTTATTCTCCGCCACTGCGCAATACGTGAGGCCATTGTTCTTAGTCCCGCATGCTGTCCACATTATAGCTGTTTCTTTACCTTTTATCACTATAGGTGCTTTCTAKTTCGTACCAAGGACCAAAGGCACCTGCTTGTTAAATGTTGTATTATTGACGACGAGTAGAGGTATGGCATATGAAACGTCCACTCCACCACTTTGCTCTGGAAAAAAAATTCTAGCCTCAAGATAGCCCTCAAAAGGAACAGGTTGACCTCCAGCACCTTCAACCTGCCAGTGCAGGATCGTTTTCCACATAAGCCATACTTACGTGTGTTTTTTACCAATAAATAAACGACATCAGGACCAGAAAACTTACCAAGACCCTACTGCTTGTCCCTCAGCAGAGGTCGACTGAGTTTGGTGACATCATGGGTGACTCTTTCTTGCCTTGATTCCTCTCTAATGTTTCGGTTTTCTTCAAGATCTTCTTAAGTAAGGCACCATTTTCTTTCTGTCCTTTAATCTGTACTTCCAGTTCCTGAATTTTCTTGGATAATTCATACACAGTCTTGTTGGAACACTGCATCAAAACAGGCTTTTATGACTTGGATTTCTTGGTTTGTAGATCATCTCTTTCATTTCTTGTTCTACTGATCTCAATTCAGCCATAGGCTTGTCAATGTCTCTAGTTGACTCATACTTGTAACRTGTGGCATTGCGCATCTGCTCATCTCATAGATCAGACCAAAGATTGTTTCTTAGCGTTTCACCAACCTGAATTGTTTGGACACTCCTCCCCGGTGAACAGCTTTGTCAAGGATGTCCTCTAGCCTACACCCATACGCTGCCACTGATTCTTGTACTTGTGCTTTGATAAATTGTTGTAGCAACGTCATACCACTCTCTACAATTCTGTACACAGACTCGAGTTTTTGCAAGATGTCTTCCAAGGATACATCCTCCCCGATGTCTATGGCAAGGCGGCCTGCTCATCCCTTCAAAGAATGCCTTACGCTTTGAAGTAGCARGTTGCGGTTGTTGATGTTGTCTTTCATCAAACATTCGATGCACTTCGAATTTCCAGGCTTCAAAAGATGTTTCACCTTTCGATACGATTTAGCGCTCATTACTATCCTACGTAAGCACTTTATCATTATACATCTGCAACCAATAGGAACTCTTCTCCTAGAGTCAAGTTGGGTAAATATATTTAGGGATTTTAGGTTAATCATCTAAAACAGAGGAAATGTATAATATTTCTTACATCATGTAATTAAGTTAAAAACTAGGGTAAAATAGTTGTAGATGTCAGTTGAGGCAAACGCTGAGCAGAAGAAACTTAATAAACGCTCCACGAGCAATCCAACCAGAACCGTACTTGAGTACTATTACACACTCATATCAAAGTTTGCATGCTCGAGTATGTTAAGTCCTGGTTCAGAGCAGCCTAAAGACCCCCCGCGAATACTCAGGCGATTGCGGTGAAAACAAAGATGGCGGACCATGCGTATCGAAGGACGTTATAGTTTTGCCGTTTTAACGGATCCAAATCTATTCGGTATAATTTTTTTTWCAATATATTTTAAGCCACCAATGTGTTAACCATTTTGGAGTGACATTTTAAGGATATGATTTCTCAAAAAATAGTAAGTAACCGACTAACTTCACGAGGCAAATACGATGACTATGAATTTACCCTGTTTTTCACTTCTTTCAAGCATTTAATCGGTATCAAGAATTGGCTATCATCGCACTTCTTTTCTSTAACTGGGTARGTTAATTTATGGAACAGTTTAAACTGAATAYTGGTTTGATTTGAGTCTTGATTTGTTGCTTTAATTTAGCTTAAAAGCTAAAAATGAATACACTGTAATAATAAAGTGAATAAGCTTAATTAATTATAATATAAATTATATGTACATGAATACAGATAAATAATATTTACAATTTGTTCTSTGGCATTAATCTAGAGTGATAAAATGAGGGAACTCAAAAAGTCGCCATTTGACATGCTACAGTCTTGKGTAAGCTTATTATAATTATTTCTATCTTATAGCTAGATAATAGAGAACAAAGAACACTAAATGTGTGCAACACTTGCCTGYATTTACTACTAAATAGTGCTAATTAAACAATAAAAAAGTTGTATTTAGTAGTATTTACATTACACACTTTTAATGTTTGTACTCTAGACTATTTATACAATATACTATACATGATTACTCCCACTGTCATGCATTTATGAGCTAAACAAGGTGAACAGTTATTCCCCACTGTTGTAGAATTTTGTTTGCAATTTTCTGTTTACTTATGACTAAAGCTATATCATCATTTGAGGCGTAATCCTTGTTAGAGKGAAGTCTACCATTCTYAAGGCAAAAATCTTTATCCCACTCTTTTAAATCATTCTTTAATGTCCTGATTGCCTTGAGCAAGRAAAYTTGAATTTTGGATGACACAGTTTCGTACCGACCAATTAAGTATCYTGATTTAGGGTTGTTGTTTAAGCTTTGTTTAATTTTATCAAACTCTGTTAGTTCTGGAGACAAACCAAGTACTGTTTTGAGCAACTTTGCTGTCTTTGTTGACAATGGCTTTTCGGCATTCATACTGGTTTTGACTGATGGTTCATTAGGAGGTTCTACATCAGTGTTAAATATTACATCCGTTACTTCTTCAGTATTTTCAGGTAGTCCTATAGGATAAACATAACAGTATAAGGATAAATTACAGTTTACTGTAAATCTAGTAAATGTTACAATAAGTAAGACAAGAGACATCATGAGTCAATGTCACATGTAGTTGATTGCTAAAACTAACACTTTTAAAAGTTAAAGGATATGATGAAATTTGACAAAATAAT